GGCGGTCAATAAATGACCACGTGATATGGTTTATCTGACTGAAATATACGTGGTGTTATGCCATGTCCAGGTGAGAGCTAAGCACATTACTCTATGTGACCAAAACGTCAAGCGTTTAAAAACTGGCTGGAGTGATGCGAGTTTGAAACTGCCTACTGGAGTTCCATTGGATACGCACTGCTGCTTTTTTGCAGGTGAGAAGACACCGTATCTGGAAGGCGATGAAACTGTTGGTCTCTTACTTACTGAGCAATACGTCTCGTTGTTTCTTTGAAATGCACTCAGCTGTTCATCGCTGTAGTGTCCAACTTGCTCCCACAGCACATAGACACATGGTAATCGATAGCATCACCGACGAGGCAGTACCCCCTTCGCAGTTGTTACAGTTGAAGTAACACAAACTCCGTTTTCTAGTTTACACACTGTGTACTGATGTCAAACCCCTTTTTTGTAGTGAACCGGGACCTGCTGTTCTAAATGATCTTACAAGAAAACGCTTAGGTCCTCTTAGGTCTACGTTATTCCATACCTATCTCTAAACAGCTTTTTAGTCCGGATACTTCGGAACGGACATCAGATTACACCCATTTTACAGCGATTGCCAAGTCTCTTCTTGACGCTTTTAACCCATGTTTTAGAGGGGGAAATGCAGCCCCCTTTCCAAACCCGGGTTTTGGCTTGAAAACTTACCTAATTTTTATGTATGTTCGTTGTCTTTATTGAGATTAATTGCCGGAGAGAGAAAACAATGCTCTATTGTCCGCCGCCGATCATCGTGACTTTAGACGCATTTGATCAATTTTCTGTAACCGCCCCGCCTGACTGCTACGAAATTTACTGCGCGTGACGTCTGGTCTAATAAACCCGATTGGAGGATACACCAAACCACGACCAAACATGATTCGTCCATCGAATCCACTAATCTTGCTGTGCTCACGCATGTTTCTACTGGTCGTCGGATTGTCCCAGATAACGGACAATGGTGAGTCATCAAGGATGTTTCTACTGGTCGTCGGATTGTCCCAGGTAACGGACAATGGTGAGTCATCAAGAATTTGATCGATCGTTATCGTTATCGATTTTGCTAAGACGAGGATAGGCTCCGACGCCCGTTTCAGCACTCGTTATGAAGACATTGAGACAACGGCTTCAGAAAAATATCCTCCTGGTCCAAATTTCGGAATTTTTAGACCGAACCAATGATTTCAGTTTGCTTGATTTATGTCTGGTTCGGTGAGCATAGATCTTACGTTTGGCATTCCAGTTTGGAAATTCCTGGGTTTAGGAGTCGATTAAAATTATGTCATTCACACCGTTGCGCAGTCCTCAGGCGGAGAAATTTGGAACTCTTTTGACTGAAAATTCACAACATCGTTAAATTTTGTTTAAAACCTCTCGTCATTCCTGCTGTTTGAAGTGGGNGCAATACCAGATAAACGACAGAAACCTACAATTTTACTACTTGTTTTAATTCTACATTTGTGTAATACAACACTGCAAAATTTGTTTTCCACACAGTCGTTTGTTTGCTTGCAGCTCATTACATCAATCGATCGTTTTTCACTTGCTACATTACCAGTGTTGGGACACAATGACCGAAGAATTCTTGTTTCATATTACAAATTTGATCGTTCTTGGAACTGATTAGTATCCCCGTGCTCCGAACATCAACCGCTGTTGGACTTCCTCCGTGTGAAATCTTTGTCGTGCTTGTCTCCAATTTCTTGATGATCGATTATTTTTTGTATTCCTCATGATGTCTAGTCTGCACAACGATTGGTTGAGTGTCCTTCATCATTTTGTAGTTGAAAATACTTTGTTCTCGGTTAGAGAGTTTACTCAGATTTCGATGGCTAGAAGAAAGTTTTAGCCAAGCCGTTAAGGATTGTATTTTCTTACTGCCCCTGAGCTGTTCAAGTGCGTATAGTTAGTGTTCTTTGAAGTTAACTTCAATTGCCTTGGGGAGTAGTCTGAGTTTGAACTTTTCGAGATTGAATGACTGTCCAATTTTGCTTTCGTTTTTTTCACCTCAGACTAAGTTCCGAAAATTAGCTGCTTTTATTCATTGCCACATAAAGCTCAGTCCAATTTCCGTCAGGGCCCCAGTATTCCTGTTCAGGGTTGCTGTCTGTGGAGCAGATGAACCAAACTGACCGCCCGTTTTGTTCATTTGTTCATTTAGTTGTTCTCCATTTAGTTATTTGTTGTGCTGTTGAGTTGGTCACAGGCGTTCTTATAAACAGAAACCAGGGCTCAAGACTACATGAGATAAATCACTTACCAGGCAAACCACATTGGTAATAAAGTAAGGTCCAGTTGAATCCCAACAGAATCTATCGTTTATTGTATTCTGCAAGTGAACGTCTTGCACAAAAACACTACCAAATTTCAAATGGTGCGCCACCCGATTGCCCTGATCGAACGTACTCATGAGGTGGTTTGCCTAAGAGCCATCAACAAGATTATGGATAGTTTGCTGCGATGAAAAAACAACAGAAAAACTGGTTGAAATGATACACAATCAGTCCGACCAGTTTGATGATGGTGTTCTTCTGGTTCAGGGGAATGCAGTTGATGGTTCTTTTGGGATTTGTTGGTTGTTGATCAGGTGGCTGTTGATCTGTTCAACGAGCTTGGCAATTGACTGGCAAACGTTTCGTCGCCATGCGAGGAGACGCCGTCAGTGGGTAGTTGGGTGGGTGCTTCTTCCTTGCGTGTGTGCGTTTATATAGCATTCGAAAGCTATCTGTTATCCTTTGACCTGATTGGTTACTTGAGCACTGATGTCATGCTGTCGTTGATGATGATGATGATGACTTGAAGTGTAATGAATCTAGTGAATCTATTGGTCCGTTTGTGATCTCTGTTGCGTTTTGGTCTGCGTTCCTTTGTGTTGACTGGTTATCCCAACGCCTTCTATTTTAAGTAGTTGTTCTCTCTGACCTTGATTCTCATTGCGTTGTAGTCTGACATTCTCGGGTTTGATTGGCTGCTTGTACCGCCTTATTTCCTCCACCGTGGCGGTCAGTGTCCCTGTGCCCGTCGTTTGATTAGGTGCTTTGGTTGGGTGCCTCCTCCAATCCAATTGATGTTTTCGTTTGAATGATCCTTTCCTGCTTCTCTTATGAGTTCCTCGTCTGCTTACTTTTGAATTTCAAAACTCTGTGGTTACGGCGTTATCTCGCTCTTAGTGGCTGGTAAACGGGATCAATTTCAATATGTTTTTTGATGGCATCATCGATGGAGTACCGAATCACGAGCTCTCACTCTTCAATATTCCAATGCTCCAGTATTTGGGATTTGTCCTCGACCAGGATTCAACACAGCTCGTAAAACCGCTTGCTGAAAACTTCTTTATTTGCCTCAAAAACCAACCGAAATTGGAACTTTTAAACCTTATCCAACCGGGTTGCGTATCAGAAGTTAAACTCTGATCGAAAATTCCCCCACCAATTCCTTCCGACCGACCTAAAAACCTCAGGTTATTTTCAATTTTTTTAGCACCAGGTTTCCTCCAAACGAAGTCCTTAACATCGGCTTCAGATAAATCATAAATCCCAACTTCGCAAGCAAACTGTTGCAATCTGGTGTGACAATCAATATGCAAACAATTTGAAATTCACTCAATGTTCCAGTGGTAAAAATGTATTCACACGCAAAATTAGCGACTTTGGCTGTGACATCGTAGGGCTGATCGGATCTGTAACTGTGCCCCTTAATCGTCATCGTCATCACCTTCATTAAGGGCAACGCCAGGTGAAAACGCTGTTGCTTCACTACTGTACAATGTATTTGCAGAACGGAAAAAATTCCACAAATACATCCCAAGTGCTGACATTTCCAACACCCACTCAGACAGTACGGAATATCTGGTATATCTGGAATGCCTGCCCGTGGTCGCCTGGCTTAATCACGTTACTTGAATAGTCACGTGCCCATGCTAACAGACATTTTGAAGCTGTTCACACGTGATTGGTGCGACTTCAATGACCAAACAGGCACTACCATTTCTAAATCAAGCAAACCGGATTGGTCAGTTTTACCAGTGCACTTAGGGCTGAGGATGTCTAGTCAATACTTTGTATTCGCGGCTAATTAACATAGCCTAAATGACTCATCACTAAATTTGCTGTTATTCATTTTGATACATATAAATACGTATACATGGACATAATGACACACTGACAGCGTGGAATTCACGCAATGCAAACAGATTTCCAGTCCTGCTATCCTGATTACACTGGACTGCATGGTTTTACGCAAAATACGCCCGCCAAAGTCCATTTAGTCCAAGAAGAGGTCACCAGTCCTTCAAAGGAAGGGTGCAGGGACAACTGCTGATACGTCGTCCAGTCACTGACAAACGTGGGACAGAACAATACCAGGCAAACCGCGATATTTAAAGTGGCATTTTTCAGCACAGCTTCATCGTCCGCCGAACTACGAAAATTCTGCTTGGTCACTATCGTGTGACATGTTTTCGAAATTTGCACTTTGTGGTTTCAGGCAAACTGGAATAGCGAGGCGAACTGGTTTTACCATCCAAAGACTCTTGCGTACATCTGCCTGGTTTCGCGATCTTGGGTCACCTGTTGAAAAATTTTCCAAAGATAAATGAACGACTTTCAGTCTCTTCAAGTAGTTTGGTTGATGAACAGACCTTTGGTTCTCCTCAAAATATACTTTCATCCGGCTAACTGAACTCAGACGTTTATGAAAATCAACCCGGTTCTTCATCTTTTGAAATCTGTCTGCTGCGACTGGAGGGAAACAGAGATATCGTAGAATTATCATCCACTGAGATAACTGACCACCCGTATTCCCATCTAAGAGGCCCGGTTATGCAGGAACCGTGAAAGTCCTTGTCAAATCTAATTCCGTTAAATAATGATGAACGCAAAAACTTTTTGTGTTAACGTTCCAACTATACCTGGCCACATCCAGACAACCAGTGCGTAACTTCAGAAACCTAATAAAAAATTTGCTGACATGGATCCCGCTTAATCGCTTGCATTCAGGTGCCGATACAGCAGAGAAGCCCATCCCACGCATGATTGGGGGACGCTTGCCGGTCTGGCATCAGGCCGAGATCTGATTGGTGGAAAGACTGGACCCAACAGCCAATCATAACCCAGTATTGGCCGAATGCCCGTTGCCAATGCCGCATCTAGAACGCGTCAAAATATCCAGGATGTTACTGCCGCTTACACTATAGATGAAGCGATGTGCAAGTGTTCACGACTTTTTTTTTCGGCGTTAATATACGTTGTGCATTTTTGGTGGTTCTTTTAGATGTGAACGCTAGCTTGAGGGTTCAGACCGAGAACTGAGCGGAGAAAAATACCGAAGTACAGTTTTCCATTTCTG